TTACATCGTTGAAGAAATACACCAGCTAGCCATTATTGAAATAAATATGAAATTGTCTTTGCAACATTCGAGAACCTAGCCTATATTAATAAAGGCCTTTCCTATTTTAAAAGTGCATGTGGGCCTCTATCACTCAAAAGTGAAGCATTTGTTATTGACAGAGGAAATCTCAAAATTACTGTTCCAGCTTTTGTTCTGAGAAAATCGTAAATGTTCCATACACCCTCTTTTAAATAAGTTGGTAGCATGTACACTGATGCTTCAAATGATTCAGGTAATTTATTTATAACTACTACATCATAAGGTGGTAGTGAAGGTCTCAGGCCATCCTCACAAACTTTGAAAGTTCAATTGCTTGTGTTTTGATAGAGTGGAAGGAATGGATTTTTATGTATAGTAATTTAAGTAAAGCTTTGCACGACTGATCTGGAGCCCATAAGTAGGATTACCTGATCATACGAGAAAGTACTATAAGCAATGTACATGTTATCCCAATGTTTTTCAAAAACGTTAAATCTGTAAATTAAAGTTATTAATGTATATTTAATGGATTGCTAACCTTGTATCGATTGGCTATCATTTTGAAATTAAATGACGCAAAACAAATTGAGGCTGATAAAAGGATGCAACTCTTGTTATATCGGGTACTTAAATTTGAAATATGAGTAGGTAATATGGTGCATATTCATATTCATATTAATATTAATCTATACCGTCTTGGCCAATCCAGTTTTTTTATAGAAAAATAAATGTTTAGATGGAATAAAACCTGCTCGTGAAACTTATTTTAACGGATATGAGTAATTTTCAACACTTTTCACCATTTTCAAGATTTTTGAATGGTATATTTTTGCCATTGGAATCATTTATTGTCATAAGTGTCATAAATATTTTATTATTATGAAATGGAACAATACACAACAGCAATGATGATCTGACATACGCGTCATTGTTGTCGTCTACTTCAGTCAATTAGGATTCTGATTCGGTGCCTCTTGTTAGTTTTTCTAGAGGTTCTGAATCAAGAAAACATGACCAGTGAAAATTCATGAGAGGGAAACATTATGTTTTATTTCCCTGTCATATGATCAAATGTGATCCAGTCAGCCTTACTATTATGGATAAGGTATAAATAATTATATCTTGCAAAATAGAAGTGATTTACAAAAATTGTTACCGGTAGGTCAAACGTATGGTAGAGTTGGCATGTCGTTAACATATGTATGGTCCTGTTGATTTACATAAAAAGTTGACATGTCAGATAAAATGTACACATGTACGGTACAGAAAGCCTGTGTTTAGATCTGTGACTGTGGGTGTTTGTGCAAGGCTGAAATTCATATCATATGTAAATATAACATATATACCATTTCACTCTATGTTTAAATACATACTTCATCATTAACTTGTATGTGTTGTGCTATTAAGGATGTGACCGAGAAGAGTATAAGATTGTGAATGAAATTACCAGTCAAATGGTATATGTGTGTATGTATCATTATTTTGTTTGATTGTCATTAATATTTGATGAATGGATTCTAACAATAAATGTTATGTAACATGAAACAAATTTTGAACTTAAGACTTGTCTGTATGGATAACTACGGACCACCAGAACAGGTCAGATTTATTTTGAAACAATGTAACAATAATCATTTACTATATCAATTATTTTAAATATAACAGTTGTAATACAATCAATATAAATCACATATTGTAATAATGAAACGTCAATAACAATTAGTAAATAAGGTAAAACTTGGTATAAACATGTAAGAGATAATGTGGAGCTAAGCAACACAGCCAAACGTTTCCCTTTAGCATCATCAGATAGACGGGGAGTTGGGTCCTGACTTGTAAGTTGTATACTAAGTACATCCAATTTTCATGAGTTAGACTGGAGATGGCAATATGTTCAATTTCGTCATTATAAAACTATAATCATTATGTACCGAGTGCGACGGTGTAAAAAAAATCTTGAGTAATATCAGTATCGTGAACTCCAGATACACTCTAGACTAATCGAATGTGTCTAATATACCATACAGATGAAAATTTAAATGCATAGCTAACCGTTGTATTTTGTACAATATAGCTCTGGAGTTCTATCCAACTACTGAAATAGCTACCGGTAATTTATTTTGAAAACAAAAGAATTTCTATTCTGTACAATAGAGAGATCTTCTGTTAACCAAAGTATTTATCTTGCAATTTTTATTTTGTACAATAAAAAAAAAAGACTAAGTATCATCTGTAAGTTATTGAAGTACTTCTCCTGTCATTCCTATTGTGTACAATACCAGAGATTATCTCCTCCTAGCAGCTTTTAAGTATTATCTTGATGTTCTTATGTCAGATAATGAAGAAAGACAAGTTTCTCATCGGTAAGCTATTAAAAATATATTTATCTAAAAGTGACGTTCTTATTAAATTACACAATTGAAAATGGTTCATCTCTTTATAATTAAAATAATTTATCTTCAAATTCAGTTATTTTACAAGTGCAATGTAAAAGATCGATCCTGTCCTAGTTAAACTGGACATTTCTATACTGTACAGTTCGGAGTCCTCTCCCAACTAAAACTGTATAAATCAATATAAAAAGAGATCTACCCTTCCTTGGCTAGACTTTTGCATTCAGTACAAGTTACATAGTTATCTTTCTCAAATGTAGTCGTGTTACAACAAATTCCAATCATACAGATCACAGAGTATTAATTTAGTGCTACAAATTTCCGAAACGACAATGTCACTTTCAAGTTAGGTAACAAATACAGTTTATAAATTAGTTAAAACTAGAAATTTTAGCACAGTTTTACAATTTCGGCACATTGTCTGCTGTTCAGTAGAATACATGGCATTCGTCTCGGTTACCTGACTGAGAGTCAAGCCATTGTCAACCGTTAAGCAGTACAGAGGGCATTGTCCTCCGTCACACTCACAGTTCATCGACAATCTTCGGCCGTTTCTTCCTTCTGCTGTCAAACAGTTGGACCCTTAGCTTGTACTTGCAAGTCTTTGGTTGGTTGTCAATTTTGTTCTTCAGCATTTCCTTCATGGTTTCATACAAGGGGTGTGTACAGGGGGCCAGAGTTGTGACATCATATGATTGATTCCAAGTATCAACTACATCACTGATCAGACTAGAGCTTGCTCCTAAATCTGGGTCCTCCAGCAGTCGTGACCCTTCTTTTGGTGATGTGTTTGTGGTATAGGGCACATCCTGGTACTGGCTCAACAGTATGATTTCATGACCTTTCATGGGACTGCTGACAGAAAAGTTGTATGGGGAGAGAACAGCTCTAAACAAATTTAATTGAAGTGGTTGCTTTCTTTCATCTTTATCATGAAGATCCGACGAGATGCGGTCACCTTTGAAGATGACACGCCGTTTTGAGGACAGAAGATACTGTCCTGGGCTGAATGCTTCTGACATGATGGCAAGGATTTTATCATTGTCAGAGATCAACAGAAACACAGGGTGCTCTACCTCGATTGTGTCCTGAGAGGCCAAGAAATGACCACCAGTGAAAAAAATGGCTGGATTACTGATTGTGTGTACTATCCTGCCTGCTTTATTGTGTGAAATGAGAACTGTTCTACAGAACTTTTGACAGGGTGTCAGAATTCTACATTTGGTCTCTTCCTTTTTTTTCTCTGTCTTTTTCTCTACAGGTTGTGACTTTGTTTTCTTTTTCTTTTCTTTTGAATTTGGATCGATTGGATCGTTTGCCTTCTTGGGTTTTGATTTGGACTTTTTACCTTGTTCTGTAGACTTTTTACCTTGTGTTGTAGGCTTTTTATCCTTTGCTGTAGGCTTTTTATCAAGAGGGTTCTTTTTCTTTTCAACCTTGTTCTTCTTTGTCCCAGCCTCTTTAGTTGGTTGCTGCTTTGCCTTTTTTTCTTTTTTACATTCTTTGTTTTCCTTTGTACTTGAAATTTTGATGGAAGATTTTTTCTTTGCTTTTTGTGCAACTTTACTGGGAGAAGTTCCATCAGGTTTCTGTTTTGTTGTCTGTTCTTTATCTGGAGAAGCAGAAAGAGCACTTGCATTCATGGTGTGTAAACGGTATTTCCCTGGAGGTAGTTTCATGGAACCCATTGGTTTGTAGACCATTTCGAATGAAGAAGATTTTTCCGGAGACAGAATAACATACTTGTCACTGCCACACATCTTCATTACAACAAATTTGGACGGTGAATTATTAGCCATCATTGTTTGTAGTAGTTCGGCACTGGGCAACTGTGGGCCATCTAAATTATCCTTGTGTTCTTTTTGCAAGCCTGACTTTTGCTGACATAGAAGAGATCCCGACATTACACCCTGTCCAAGTGATTTTGACTGTACCTGCTGACCAAGTGGTCCAGAGTGTGTGGTATTACTAGAAACCTTGCCCTGAAGTTTACCAGGAACTTGATCCTCTTGGTGTTTTGGACATTTGATTGTGCTAGTTTGGTCATGTTTAGTTTCGTGACCGTTTCTTATCCCAGTAACCTTGGTTACAATGACATCTTCAGACTCACTTACAGTCCCTGGAGATCTGCTACTACTGGTACACTTGACACTCTTAACCTCTGTTGCTGGTCCCATGTTTGGGAGACCTTGTTGGGAAGTTGTCAGATCATATACTGGAAAACCATTGTTGTTGTTTTGTCCACTATTTTTTTCCCGATTCTGCTCCAGCATTGCACCATTGTTTTGAAACTCGGAAGACATCACTTGAAATCTACTAGACTCCGACGTATTCAACATTTGGTTTTGAAGAATATTTGGATTAGAATACAGACTAAAGTCTGTGCCGTGTACAAACTGACTTTGGTGCCCATGTGTTGCCTCCCTTGGTGGAATAGGAGCCGTCAAAGCTTCTGATTGACTGTAAATTCCATTTATGCAAGTTGTAGTTATGTGTCCATGATCTGGAGCTACGTTCATTGCTGGACCCCACACATTTTGTGGTGAGCCGTGAGAGGGTGGTGGCCTTGTGCCTTGTATGAGGTTTTGATTCCTGGGAGCTACCTGTAGTCCCTGACATGCCTGGTCCACATTGGGAAGCTGTCTGGCCCTTGTCACCTCAGAAAGATGTGCAAGCTGTTCCTGACTGTATTCTTGGCAATCCCCAAAACGAGCAGCCTGCTTTATGCTGTTTGGTGACAGTATTTGTCCACTGTTGTTAAATGGCATTTGTCTGTTGGTGGTGAAGAGTTGCTCACTTTTATCAGGAAAAAGTTGTCTACTGCTAAATGAGGACACGACGTTGGTTCCGGCTGACACCGATTGTATTGCATCGGGAGAAAGTAATTGTTTGATATGTGGAGAAAGTAAAGGCATGGTCATATTGGATGTGGGCAACTGTCTGTTGCTAGGAGACGCAAGATGTTCCACATTTCTCGGACACAGCATTGGCATGTTTCTAGGAGATACAGGTAAACTATTGCCAGGTGATGACAGTTGTCCAATATTGACAGAAGAAAAAGACATTTTTCTTTTCTGCTACAATGCGACACAAGTTGTAAATTGACTAAACTGTGTAAAGTTTCTTTATACCTGGTGGAATTTCTCTTTCACCGAACAACACTTGACCTTGGGTTAATCACTCTGCCTTCCAACTGGAGGCTGCTTTAACTATAGTTCACCATGTCCTTTTAGATATATGTTATAGGGTTTGTGCTCCAAAACTGACCCACTGGGTTACTTCCTTTAGGCCTCTTTATTGAATAAAACCAGACTAGATGAAATTCAGGGAAGGTTTGTTTTTACTGCAATCATCTGGGCATTCCTGATTTCACTAAAGATATGCCTGAATTGAAAAGAAAAACATTGATTATTATTAATAATAATAGTACAGTATCTTATATCTTTGTTTTTTCACAATCTCTCACACTTGCCTTTGTCCTATCATATAGAATCATTGCATTTTCCCAAAAAAGTCAAGTAAGTAACTTTACTTGTAAACTATTATCCATTTTTTAAAATTTTATTTTTACTCTTTATCATGAATTATTTGATGAAGATCAGTTCTGACATTTCAAAACTTGCTACACTACACATATATAGAGTCCTATTCTGATCTTTTCATTTATTTATTGCTAATATTGGTATACATTTATCTACTATTCATACTTATTAAATTGTTTTGTGAATTGCATTTTTCTTACTTAATTATTATATTCATTCCATATATCCTTGATATTCTGTGAGTCTGATGAATATAATGATTATATGGCCAGTGAAGTGTCTTTAAAGCTAATCTAAAAATTGCAGATTTGCAGTTTACAATCATCATGTCACATGATATTGTTGAACTGTCGTAAGTTTAACCTACTATTTTAGGAGTCATTTGGGCCTACCGTACAGATATAAGATAAAAAATATCACTCAGTGTTTTCTCAAGGTTTAGAAAAAATGAGAGGGTTGATGGTATTAAAAGTAAGAGGTGGGTGGGACGCCTACAGTACTGTAAATTGTAATCCCCTTCTGGAGAATTCAGATTTAGGCCCGTCCTCCAATGATCTTTGCGACTCAAAATTAGCCGAGTTATATTCTAGACTTATTCATCACAAAGGTTGTGACAAACGTGTGTTGTAAATAACAATTTAAACAAATTTATAAGCCTAGGCTAGTAATGAAAAAATACACACCTGTCTCCTCATGAAAGTCGTGAAATGACGTCCACATCTACGGAGTAATCTCACTGCGGAATATTGCACCATAGATCTTGAGTCTGTTCTGGCGGCTGAACCAAATATAACTTGTATGTAATTTCGTTTGTAGATCTATAAAATTAACGTGACTTAAAATACAACACATCTATTGAAAAATTGACAACAGCACTGCTTCGCTCCCTCATCATTCCGGAAATCATCACGCTGCAACGTCATTGTGACGTCATCTTAACACGACGGCAGGAAGATGGACTGGCCATTTGGTCTGAAAACGAGACCAACATCTAGAATATACTCAGTGTCCTTTTTGTTACCTTAATTTTTTTGAATGACACATTTTATAGATAATAAAACATGCCTCCGTTATCCTACTTTTAAATTTTCCCCGCCAGTACGCTCTTTCAGAGTTATCGTTCCTGTCATATGGAACAGGGACGACCGGGTGGGGAGTCGGCGCAGGGGTGGGACATCTCTTTTACGTGTTCCAAACTATTTGATCGGTTCGACCAGAGTTGTTCATCTTTGAAATAGCATATATCAACATTTGCTTGTTGTTATATATATGTGAACCCTGAAAATATAAATTAAAAACTTTTCGGCTAGTTCATCGAGTTGCCTCCCTTCGGATGAACTCATTTTTGGCTTCAGATGGATCCAAATTTTGCCGTCATCATGTGACACGGGTTATCTACAGGTAGATCCACTCCTTGTTTATCTGTCTCGTCTACTGTTACAGGATGGCGCCGAATGTTGTCCGCTCCGCCATAAGTATCTTCTTTGAATATGACACGCCTAGAATCGTCCACATCAAGAGCAAGAAAGTTGGAGTGATAAACAGATTTCTCCAATTGGTCATCATAGGTTACATAATTGGGTAAGAGTCTACTAGTACGGCAAACCGAAAGTACATCCATTGATTGAGGTGAATGTCTTGTCTTCTCTTGTTCTGGTGTTTGTCGCGGGTAAAGCGTTAAAATGTAGTTACCTTTAAATTTCAATAAAAACTGATAACGTTTGACCGACACTGCAAACACTAAATACAGTCTTAATATTCCACCAGGTATGCCATTATTTTCAAGAAAGGGTATCAGAAGGTTGATACAATACAGAGCGCTGTGACTACCAAAGTTAAAGGTGTTGCATTTCTGAATGGATCAGAAGTGCCTAATATAGAGAGCTCTTTATGGGACGTGGCTGACTATGTGGTCCCTGCCCAGGTAAGTACTGTTTACCAGTTATATCAGTTCACCGGTCTGTATTAAGCTATAAGCTTCTGGACCTCCTTGATTTTTGTCTCCAT